TTTATTTTTGGGCGACGTCCAGCAACAAAATTACGAACTCTTGTGTGGATTTGTGAGCCCGCTAAGTTGGTTTCTTCGTCCATACGTTCTTATAACTGGTCCGGGAGGTTTGAAAGGAGATATAAGATAAACAATTACTCCTTTGTTATCATGATATTTACATTTCAGGTTTCCCGACATCCGACAAACAGGTGCCCCCGCTTTGTTTTACACAAACTCGGCGAGTTTCTTTAGAAAGTTTGAAATATAAAGTATCCTTGAACTATCTCGTCTTTGATATAAAGTTCTGATTTATATACAAACATCTTAAGAATCCAAGTTTTGACACGACCTCTGCAGTGTATAAGACCACCCGTTGAACGCGGGGGCCTCGAATTGCTTTTGACCTTTGACCGTAAACTTTGACTCCCCTTTAGAAAGTAAACAATGCGTAATCTCGTCTCCCATGAGAGTATCGCGAGAGATTGCAGGCATGGTGAGACTAATATATTAGCGTCAGTATAAACAATTTTAAGTACATTACACTGATAAAGAAATAACTCGAAGATGGATGGATCGAAATCTCATCTGTATTGATATCGTCTGCCTTCCATTGCACGGGATGCTGACGGATCTGTCGGGGATCTGATGTCGCTTGGCATTTCGGGAGGTTCTTTTCCAATGGCGAGGCACGATTCAACATTCATCTAACGTTGCAATGTAACCTATCAACGTTTTAAGCACGCATGCATCTAATTGAAAAGACATGTTCTTGTTTATTTTGACACAAGAAGATCTTTGTGATATGCACAAAACCCCGATTTGATGAAGTTAACAGAACATACATTATAATGTCTGTTATATGCTACTATACATGTAAGTTCGACCAACGATATCAGTATGCCTCCAAGTTGATAGTTTTGGTTAATCTAACATCCGAACAGCTCTTGGATATGTTTTTCATTTGTTAAAAGTGAAATAGTTGATATAAAAAATCTTGTTTCGTTTTGGACAAAAAAAAAGGCCTTCTGCTTCCGGTGTTTCTATTCCGAAGCACAAGACACCACTTCCGGTTTCAACCGGGTTTTTTTGTGCCTCGTTACCAATCCAGATCGAATAATCGGAAAATCACTAGTTTTGAATTTCGCCTGCCCGACCGTAACATGTAGGAACCTTGTGTCGTTTGTTAGTGACGTGAACTTGTTTAGCACCAGTCATACCAATCTTGTGATTATCGAGTATGGTCGGTCACTGACTCTGATGTTTAGTCCGTAATCACAAGATTCTTACGTCATAATGACGAATTAACTTAATCGCAACATGATTTTTATGCTGTAAAGACGTGACGATATTGAAATAAAGATATAAAAATAGTTCAAATGATACTAACCGGTTTCCGTACTAGACAGTAGGGCTTCAAAGATACATCGCGATATTTTGAATACGGTACGATACATAATATATTTTTTGAGGTTACGATGTTTTTCGAATTTTGTCGTTTCTGAATTTAGTCTTCTCATATCGGTTCCAAAATGGCCAGTGATCATGACCGCTCCAGCTCAGCATGCACATCGAAAGACGTGAATTGTGTGATTTAGGATTAAGTCTATTTACAGTTGTAATATTGCTATCAAAATTTGCAACATATTTTACGTATCGTGATACGTATCGTATCGTCAAAATGCACAGTATCGTATCGTGATGTTAATGTATCGTTGCAGCCCTACTAGACAAATCCTAATGGCGCTCGTGACATAGTCAGCAATCTTTTTCGCGTATTTCATCATGCATCGCTCTTGACGCATAAACAATTTGCTAAAAATACTGATACTTTAAAACCACTTCATGAAATATCTGACTGTATTCTTTTTATAGAAGTTGAATTATAACAGATGTGTTGTCAGTAACTATGCTGTTTGGCTTCAGCCATCTTGGAATGGTGCCATTCCGGTCTACAGTGCAGACAATTTGACCATTTATTTCATAAAAATAGGTTTTATCTTTCCCAGTCCAGTTAATATTTCTAATCTTATCATCACGAGGAGCTACGTTACCGGCTTTATTTTGTTTGTTTTTGTGTTATATGCTAATCATCCAATTCGTAATGATCAATTATGGTTTTATATCCATTTTTGTGAGTGAACGCTATAATTGTTTATTAGCGTTGTAACTCATACATGTATTTAATAATAAATCCACTCGGATTTATAAAAGGTGTCATCAATTTATCTTTTATATACTGCATATTATTTGTTATTCGCGAACAATTCATTTTGAGCGAACTGTCTCTTCCTGAACTTATTCGCGAGTAATTTAGGTAGCGTTTCAACATGTATGAATATTTTATCGCTTTATAATGGAATTCACGACCGATGCATAAACAGACAAATTAAAACAGAGAAAGAGAAGAAGTAAACACACCTGCCACTCAAAATAAATAAATAAATAAATAATAACACAAGTTGACACGAAAATAAAACATCACCTGAAAAATATGCAATATAGAGAATATATATTTTACTGCTGATATACAGGGAAACACGTACATTTACGACGATGTGATACAGCGCATCATGAGATATGATTGAACGGAACTGTGTTGCATGTACACATAAGTATTTTAAACACGGAACATTTTTTATCGATATATATATTGTATTTTGTTTTTCTTTAACAGAATTAAAGTTACAAAATATAGAGAGAATAAACTCGTTATAGTGGCACAATTTGTCCACAGAAATATAAGGGGTTTGACGATAAAATGAGGGAAATGTGTAAAGAAATTCTCAAGAAAACCAGAAAAAGGGACTATGAAATGCAACCTTGAAATATGTTGGCGGTAAGCGTTGTGGCAATTGAAACGAAGGACATTATTTCGTGGCTTTACAGTATGTCATAGAAAATACAGATAAAAGTAACAGTTTTTAGCAGAAATAAAGCTTTGCCTACGGAAGAGCATTAGGGCCGCCTTGTAGAATGAAAATAAACGTCATTTTTTCAACTTGGAGATAATAACTTGACTTACTAACTCGAAATTTTAAGATAATAACTCGAAATTTGGACTTACTGACCGACGGAATATTTAAAATATAGGGTTTTATTTAGAACAACCATTTTGCGGGAAAGGACCATGTTTCCTACGGTTTCCAGTCCGCCGGGTGACAAAAATAATATCCGTCTCAAATGATAATTAAATCATATTTTATTTGCATTTTGATTTTACAAAAAATGATCTGATACAGGGTTTACGTAAAGTCCCCTGCTTTCATACTTGATACAAATGAATTCGAACAAGTGAGTTTAAGCATCCGACAAGTCCCATCTGGCCAAAGGGATAGGTCCCAAGGCCGGGACATACCAAAAAACTTACACGGAAGTTAAGGGGAGGTTACTGTAATTAGGAAAAACGATGCAGAAGGACAGGGATCGTTAACACACAATACACGAATCACATAAATAAGATGGTGTTAACATTTTAATAGACATTGTGACAATATACAAATGTAACTGAATAATGAAATAAAAAAACCAATTCGTAAACATCAAGAATTGTTGTCGCAACGTACAAAAATACAACAACAAGTGACAACAAATTCACTTTACAACAGAAAAGCGACAGACGTTACCCGATATACTTTACTTGAAGATATATATATGTAGTTCAATCATATATGCAGAACTAATAAATCAGCACAGAAAATATAGTTGTTTCACCGCTGACGATTTCAAGCCGTACGGCCATCTTCAGGTGATTACCGGTTTTAATATCTTGGTTACACCATTATACATGTACATAAATCACATTTCATGGAACAGGTGAGAGAGAAAAGAAACACTTGCGGTCCGTACTATGTAACATTTTCCAATTACTTTAGTTTAAGTTTACATTGGAACACTTTAGTTATATGTTTAATAGAACTTTGTTAGTCCGGATACTTTGGTTTGTTTATACAGTAGAACTTTGTTAGTCCGGACCCTTTGTTGTATGAACAGTGGGACCTTGTTAGTCCGGATACTTTGGTTGTATGTACAGTGGAACCTTGTAAGTCCGGACACTTTGGTTTGTTTATACAGTAGAACCTTGCTGGTCCGGATACTTTGGTTGTATGTACATGTATAGTGGAACCTTGTTAGTCCGGGCACTTTGGTTTGTGTATACAGTAGAACCTTGTTAGTCAAGACACTTTGGTTTTATGTACAGTGGAACCTTGTTAGTCAGGACACTATGGTGTGTGTATACAGTAGAACCTTGTTAGTCAGGACACTTTGGTTGTATGTACAGTGGAACCTTGTTAGTCCGGATACTATGGTGTTTGTATACAGTAGAACCTTGTTAGTCAGGACACTTTAGTTTGTTTATAGAGTAGAACCTTGTTAGTCCGGACACTATGGTGTGTGTGTAGCGTGTAAGTTATAAGTCCGGACACTTTAGTTTGTTTATAGAGTAGAACCTTGTAAGTCCGAACACTTTGGTTTCCGTGTACAGTGGACCACTGTTAGTCCCGATATTTTATCGTGCATACTGTGTAGTATTGTAGGTTCGGTCATTTTTGGTATACAGTTTATCCTTGTTTTCCTGACACTTTGGTTTGCAATTATAGTAGAACATTGTTAGCCCGAACAAGTTGGTTGGTTTGTACAGAGGAACCTTGTTAGTCCGGACACTTTGTTTTTTATGTATAGTGGAACTTTGTCAGTCCAGAAACTTTGGTTTGTATGTACAGTGGAACTTTGTCAGTCCAGAAACTTTGGTTTGTATGGCTAGTTGGCTACAATGTAAGTAAAACATCACTGACATTATATTGTAATTGATTGATTAACTGATTGATTGATTGATTGATTGATGGATTGATTGAGAGGTTTGTAAAGGCTAAGTGATTGTGCAGTATGAAAAACAAAGTATGGAAAATGCTAAGTGCTAAGTCTTAAATACGAGGCATGGCAAATGATTGATTGATTGATTGATTGATTGATTGATTGATTGATTGATTGGTTGGTTGATTGATTGATTGATTGATTGATTGATCGGTAATGTCCAAGCGATGAGACTAACTAGCCAGGTTTCTGAACGTTATGAGTATGAACAGTTTGATTGCTAGGAACGTGAGGATACGTCAGTTACACGAGCGTGTGCAAAAGCAAAGATACGCGTAAATATACACTGCAGATATACGTGAAGTTACACGGTAGTTAAACATTGTTATAATCGGCAGTTACGTGTGAAGATACACGGTAGATACGTATAAATTTACACGGCAACTACGCGTGAAGTTACACGGTAGTTGCACAGTTGATGTACAGTGTATTTTTGTGTTAAGGTACACGGCCGTTACGCGTCGAGAAATAATGATGTTCCACATGGTTTTTACGCTTAAAGTTGCCTTGTAAATACACGTGAAGTGTGTTACGCATGACGTCATACTTTAGTTACGCGTGAAGTTATGCTGAACGGGTGTAAGACTATGTTATGATACCGGATGGAAACAGTTCACTTAAAACAGCTACGTGTACAAACAATTCGGTGATATGTGTTCGGAGGTGTTTTTAATGTCGATGCCAATCTAGCAAAAAAAATAACAAATACAATATGTCTACACTTAATTTACATATATGACGCGAAAATTACAAAACCTTAATATTATTTACGAAAATGTGACACCAGCACTTGTTTTCTATTGTGGTATAGGTGCAATGTGAGACTTTCATTTTATTTAGACCATTGAACGGACAAGGGAAACGAAACAAAAATGAAACACATTCTTTATCTAGAAAAAAGGATACCTAAAACACACATTAAAGGGCGCATCTGGTACATCATGAATACGGTTTTAAAATTGGACATAATCTTGGGTTATCACAGATATTCTGGTGTAAAATCGAACGTCAATCTGACTGCTACGTAACTAAAATATGATATATACATGTAAAAGTACACAACACAATATCGTAGAATGTAGACCACAGAGTGTAATTCAGCTGTGCATCTGTACACAAAATCTGTCTCTGTTGTATCTTGTCACTGCTGTCTGAATTTATATGCACACAAATACATTTCTTTTTTCATCTTAATTCGAATTCAAGTTTTCGAGAAAATATTACTTTGGCTAAAGAATGGGATGATAATTCGGTAGATTGGGCTCCCTTTGTTATTCTTCCGAAGTTTCGCTTATGACCACAGTTTAGAAAATGTTTTGGAATATTTTCATTTGTTTTCTCTGAAAACTTTGTATCACAGTTTCCCCATGTTTCGCCTACAAAGATAACACACGAAACTGTTCATGATCTAAAGCATAACTTATAGAAATGGTATTTGTAATGTGTACTATTTTTTTTTAATTTTAGAATGTTGTGTTTTTAGAGAGTATATTGATTCTATTGACCTACTAATTTCAGACAGCAGCTAAACACGTTTACTTAAATACTCATAGAGGAGGTGGACGCACCGTCGCTGTCCTCGGCATTATCCGTACTGATCACATTATAAAAACCATCCCAACAATGACTGTTCTCGTCAAAAAAGCACAGGAATATTGGGGTCAGTACTCCCCGGGAATAAACTGTCAACACGAACATATACGCGAGAGGTTCTGAACTGGTGTTATGCGCAAACGCCATATACACAAGATACGCGACTGTCACAAACGCTAGAATGATCACGATCTTGATGGCGCTTGACCGGATGTTCCCGAGTTCGACAGCCAGTTCTTTATTTTCGTTGTGGCGCCTACTAGTTTCCTGGTCATTGTATTTACACAAAAAGTAGATGATGAAAAACCATGTCAGTGCCAAGAAAAACATGTTCGTCGACTCAATTATCCAGAAGCTAGACTGAAGCGTGGCGATGAATAGCTCCCCAAACCAGCAGTAGGTCTTCCCGTAGATCACAGTAATGCTTAACCAGGTAATGGTTATGACTGTAGGAACGAACCATCCCAGGAGACAGAGCACAAAATACATTCTTCTCTCAATCACAACGCTCTTCATGGTGAGCAGGTAGTATATTCCTAGAATAAGTAACCAAACAAAAATGGCGGATGATGTCAAGGTCACGAGCACTCCTATTGCCACACAAGGTTTTACGTCATTTATGACGTCACTGCTCCTCAGAATGCGACCGATGTTCATAACGAGGTCAAGCATGTCGTGAAACAAAAACGCGGCGAATAAATTACGATAAAGTCGAACTCGAGTTGCCTGTATTCCTTTCGAAAAACATGAAATACCGATAGCTGCCATTGTAAATATTATGGACATTGACAACAGAACACATGCGAGGATATCTGCTCCGTCATAGGTCAGGGGAAGTGTTCCAAAACTAATAGGGGCGGCCTCAGAAACATTAACATCCAAAGTGTCGTTATATTCAGTGACAGTTTCGTAAATGACCCCTGCACACTCACTGTAATTTGTCCATCCAGGCTCCCAATCCGGGTATTCCTTGAAACCCGGATGTACTCCAGCCCATCCCCCGTCATTTCCGCATGTTTTGTATGCAAATTTGTCTGGACCAACTCCGAGATGTTCCGGACAAGCAATTTTGAAGGTAACCCCTTTTAGAGTAGGTGGCCAGCAAAGGACAGTATCCCAAGTAGCGTTACAGAAAAACGGTTTAGGGAACTTATATATCTTCTCTCCCTGACTCTCTAAACATTCCTTCAAGTTCGTTGGATACAAATTTCCGGTAGATTTCTCCATTTTGTTTCCTTCTCAATTTTCCTTTTTTACGGTCTTTCAAATACAAACATAAATTCTGGTTAACAGAAAAAAATCACATTATAGTCCTTACCTTGTAAGCACAACGTTGTATATTTTCACAACAAGACCTGCATAAAATGTATCAAGTTTTTTCCACAGAAGGTATTTGTCAAAAATAATATCCGTTTCACTCATGTAGGATCCGTCAATGGATGCTGAATTAAAACTGCAGACAATTTTATCTTCCACACTGTATACGCTGACGTCTTGTGCCCGAATATCTTGACTATCTCTCATGAGATGTTCAAAATTCAGTTTTTCGGTAATAATGAGATTTGTCTCTCATCGTCAAGTTTTTTCTCTCCATATCCTTGAGATAAGCGACCTCGCTAAGTACACCCAGCCTCGATCAGATGTACTACAGCTTTATTCGAATCCTTAAAATAAGGTGCTGGAGAAAATCCTCAAGTTAAGCCCTTAGGACTCAACAACCGACTATCTATATCAATTTTTCAAGAAGGTACATACGTGTTGGACGATTAGTCTATTAACTGAAATCTCCGATCTGAAGAAACAGGTTACAAAGTGTGTTCCCGTTATGAAAAACGTATCTTACAAACCGTCTGAATTTAATCCAAGGTTTTCGGAGACTGGTTTTATGAATGAAAGCCGAGACCTTCTCGCACAGTATGTTTCCAACAGTTCCTGGGTTTATGAATATCTTTCTTGTGAATTTCTGATAGTCAGTCCGTCATATACCACATATAAAAGCAAATAATGTTAAGGATACCTGTTCTCGAAACTGATGGTATTTCCTCGGTAAATAAATTAGACGCGATCACCAGTTAATGAGTGACGTATGGCGATAACTCCGGAATCCCGGTTCCCTTATTAATGCTTCACATTTCAGTCATCAACGTGATTATATATATAGTGCATGGACGTAAATCAATGACCGAACCAATTTTCACGTTATTTATGAATAATTAAAAACGAGAAAGTTTTCCCGGTGGCCCGTATTGCCTCTCCGCTCTATCTGGATTGTGTGGTTTTATGTGTGGTGCGTTGATTATATATTACGAGGGGGCGTGGTCCTGCGGATGGGGGATGTTGGTTTCACTTTAGGAACTATCCAATTACTACGATATGCTTCGGCTGTGTACCCCCTCTGTAGAGCCACACAGCTCATTGAGAAGACCTCCGTCATATCCCGGTGTGACCAAATACCGGGGCACGCTGGGAAATCTGGCGTACTGTTTATCATGTAATTCTCGCGAAAACTTTTCGCGCCTATTTCTCAACGATATATTTGCAATGGTGTACTTTAATTCTCGCGAAAACTTATACTTGCTAAGGTTAATTTAACTATATATTCGCAATGTTGTACTGAATAAATTTCATGAAATTCTCGCGAAAACTTATATTTGCGATGGTCATTTCAACGATTTATTCGCAATGTTGTACTTTAATTCTCGCGAAAACTTTTTTTTTTTAATTTGCGATAGTGTTCTGTATATCATGCAATTCTCGCGAAAAAAATCGTTATTTAGTAAAAAAAATTCCAACGATACAGTAATTATTTGTGATGGTACACTGTAGATGTTGATTGTTAATCCGAAGGCATGTCTCTTGTTTAAGGAAATATTTTTAAATGAAATGATTGACGAAAACATTTATCATTATGGAGTATTTGATCCCAATTATTAGCAATTTAAGCAACAGTTTTACGTTATGGGGTATCAAGCAGTTGAATATTTATTAAGCTCTAATAAAAAGTTACAGCAAAATATATTTGACCCCACCCCACCCCCACCCCACCCCATCTGCAAAAATGCCGACGGTTTCTGAATGCATGTTTTCCCACATTCTGATATATTCAACAACAATTACGAAAAAGGATGTTAGCGCACGTGGGAACAACATTACCGGAGAAAACCCCACGTGGTTGGGCAGGTGACCTCACACCTTTTCATGTCTGATTCGCGTCCACTGCGCCACCCGAACGCCCTTCTGTGCTGTGCACCATATGCTTTCTGCATCAGCAAAGTAAATTTTTGCATAGGCGTTTCATTTTTCCATATTCTCCAACTTTCGTACGTCCGGTATCTTTCTTGGCTTTTCATACATATCATTTAACAGAATTTCCACCGTTTACCGTTGTCGCGTTGTATAATGCTGTGCTGGTGGGCCATTCCGACCTTATATCTTATATGCTATATATATAGCTAATTAGCTAAGGACGTTTACGTTTGTAGGGAGTCCGTCCATTCCACATGTTAAACCATCCCCGGAACAGTCTTCACTGACTTTCTCCGAGTTTACTAACTAGTCGTGTGGCATATCTAGCTCCCTTCAAACTGTCAATCAAATTCACGAGCCAAACAGAAAGTAAACAATGTAGATTTCACTGCCATGTCGGCCGATATCCGCCGCATGTCTGTTATTTTTTCTACTTTCGTTTTCACTTATCTATCGCATCTGCTGTGGGTATATCAGTGTGATGTTTCGTGCACGTTTCTCCTTCACGCCAACATACACGTACATAAAAATACACCAAACCATCACATGCTGATGACCATAATCGATTAGGGAGGCTGGCTGATTGATGGATTTGACAGATGAGGGTCATTAAGAAATTCTGATTACCTCCCGTCGTTAACGCCCCATCAGAACCCAGAGGGCGCTGTTACTGCCGGGTAGTATGTGATTTATGAGGTAAATGTGACCGTTTTATCAGTTAAACGATGGTATGCATCTGATGAGAGCAATGATGGTATTTACGATTATAGATCTGAACCCGATAGCACTTGTAAATCTGTTTTGTTTTTTCTGAAGTTGTGAATGGAAAAATGAGTTTAACCTTGGCTTATCTATGTACTTGTATCTACATAAAATTCACGAGATATTTTGTTTTTCGTGAGTAAAGCTTACAGTGAAATCAGCTTCAGGTTTTCTCCGAAATAATTGTAACGAAGTTTTTTTTCAAAACATCGATCCGCTACGGGTTGAACCCGAGACCTCTGGGTTCACTAGTCTTCCGCTCTAACGGATAAGCTAGAGAGAAATTCTCACATGCTGAGTCAGTAGGAAGGGACTGGCATTTTACTAGGTTGACATATTCAAACAGCAATTATTTAGCTTCTTCCTCTAAACCAATATCTTCATGATCTTTATCAAACTCTGATTCTACACTTCTCGTATGTTCGTTCGTTTGAAGGGACCAGTCTGACTTAGTGAGAATGCTAAATTAATTGTACTTTTGAATGAGGCCATTGATGTTAATTAGAAAATATACGATATACAATGACTGTTTAAAAAATGATTTTAGTATAAACACCGAATTTTTTGACAACAGTAAGCTCGTTGACAGTAAGTAGAGTAATATTGCACTTTTTAGACGGATATTTTACTTTTACACAATGAGACTCATTAGACTTGTATGAATAATAAATGCTACAGTTTGTTTTGAATACAAACAGTAATTGAAAAATTATTTTTCGAGCTTTCGATATCATCTGAATTCAAACCGCTGAAAACAACTCACTACACCACAATGTACTGAGTCAGTAAATTCATCTGTCAGAAATTATAGAGACATTTCGCCCAAAAACATTCTGATACTGCAGGCAGTCAGAGGGACTGGTAGTATTCCTTTTCTTAGTTGATGTTAAAATGGGGTCTTAAAGATGACTCAGCTGGTGGCCCCCTCATCTCTGTTCATTAATTACCTCCTCGTGATATTTTCCTGTAAGACGGTAGTAAAAAGCGATATCTCTAAAATAAAATAATTTTCATTCTTGCATTTTGTCGCAAGGTTGAGGAAAAGAGTAAGTCTTAATGAGTAAAACTAGAAAATGTCTGTAAGACATGCACATTCGAACTTCGAAATTTTTCCTTTCATAATAAATGTGACATTTGTATAATGTTTGATGAAATCCATCAAGAAATGAAGTTGCTATCTTTTAATTATTTGACAAATATCTATAAATTATAACGTGTACTTTCTTATATATCAACACGTTAAAATATCTTTTCATAGTTTTTTATGTTCAGATATTATTTGTTTGATCAGAGGGCTTCAGAACCAAACTTCTGCACTATCTGGGATACGTGATCGAGTTCCTATGTACGTGCCTATGTACGCGTAGGACGATAGGATTTACCTCATAATCTAGATGGGCTTTTCTGTCTAATTTGTTTTTGTGGTGTTATCATAGCACTAGGCTCTTCTACGCAGTGTGCTCTAGGGGTTTAATTCAAGTTTTTAAATAATTTTTGGCATTTCACGAGTGTTCAATTAATTCTTCCGTTCACGAAGATTTCTTAGTAATCAAGGAATATCTTACCTCGCGGGGTGTCTTTTAGAGTGTTTTCTAGTTATTACTATATAGCTCTAGAATTCCCATCATCGGAAGCCGTTATGAATTTTTACATTGAATTACTATGCAAGGTAGAATTGACCGAGCATCAAAATGACTCATGATACATGGAAACAATGCGAGAATTCTATGGAGGGTTTAGGACGCCGTCTGTTAACACCACAGTAGCATAAAATGACTTGGGATATATGGGAACAATGCGATAATTCTATGGAGGGCTTAGAACGCCGTCTGCTAACACCACAGTAGCATAAACATGATTCAGAATACAGGAAAGCAGAGAGCCATAAGCAATAAGGCCTATAAACGGCCAATGGAAACATGTAAAACGAAATTACATCAAACAAACGAAAGGATAAAAGAATGGCTATGGTTAATTATATCTGTTGGAGAAGGCCAACAGTTTCAAAGATAGTCTAGAATTATAGAGACATTTACTATTTCGAGATGATTTGAGACTTATTATATCATTAAACATATTTTGTTGTTGCTGGCTGAACGTCATTAAATTCTCATAGCAAGTGCTTTAATTTATATGGTTCGTGACGTGTTATACTTCGAGTTGTGACTTCGCTTTTTTGTAATGTTCACAGGGAAACAAGATGAGGGTTTTTATAGGCTTTGCCTGTTGCCCAATTTCTTTTGCATACAAGACCTATACAATAACATATCCTGAAATGAAACGATGAAATAATTCTATGGAAGCACTGCAGTATCACCACTGACCTATGTGATAACTACACGAGACATCTTTAACTGTCTTTAGTGTAATTTGGAACTCTGTTACAAGGTCGTAAGCATAATGAAAATATAAATTCGGCTCAACAAACTATTATGGTATAGCAAGTATACTATAAAAACTCGTTTAAAGACTATATTTTAAAATAGTGATACAATTTCTATCAAGGAAGAATAATTCACGAAAATCATAATTCAAACATCGACAATGATTTACGGAGTCTTTAAAATATGAAGAATGACAGAATCATGTATATGTATTAACCATAAATTATATTCCTACAAGTCACCTTATTTCAAATCTTCCGGATTTTTCTTATTCCGTGAAAATTGATCAACCGATTGTGCCAAACTGTTCATACGGCGCAAACGGTTGTTGAATTGCACGATTGTGTGCACCATGTGCGGACGATGAATGCACGATGTGACCAATATGTGTGCACGCTGTTTTTGGAGCGTTGTGCGGTCACACAACTGTAGCTTGCTATATGGGACGGGGGAATTTGACCAGACAAATAGGTTTGTAAACGGAAATCAAAGTGACCGGACTAACGAGGTAGCTGTCAAAAACGAAGGAACCGCGGGTACAAGGTGAATAAGACCGAGCGTTCCAGAAGGGTAAGCGTCTTCTGTTTCATCCATGACACATGTCACGTGAATCTGAGTGGAATCCAAGTGATGTTACGTCTTCATATCGATAGCTCGGGTAATCACAACGATTGGCTTGGTTTTATTTTGTTTAACGTCCTATTAACATCTAAGGTCATTTAAGGGCGTGCCTCCAAATGTGTTGAAAGTATGTATGTNCACATTATACTGAAAACGGATGAACCAGTTGTTGCCATTACCCTCAATGCTGAACGTTAAACAGGGAATAACAACTACCATTTTTAAGGACTTTGGTATGTCCCGGCCTGGGGACAGAACCTGGGCGAACGATCAACATCAAAGCCAAAAGTGAGGTATTGCCA